TAAAATAATATAAACAGAACATAACGTAGTCCGTGTGATAAAAATCATTTAATTTCACTCCATTTAATATAATAAATGATAAAATAATAACATAAAATATTCCATATTATAAAAAATTCAAATCTATTTTACTAAAGTTTTCTATAAATTTTAAAAATTTAAAAAGGTTAATTTAGTAAACAAGTATAAAAAAATTTATTGCATTATAATTAAATTACTATTAATTAAATTTATATAAACTCACTTTTTTTGAATTATACATTAAAATCTTCATAAATATTGTTTTCTGTTAATTTAAATTAATAAATTATTTCTCCAGGATTCTCCAGGAAATTGGGCCTGAATTTATGTAAATATCCAGGGTGAAAATTTTTAGAGTTGGCAACACTACACATATCCCGTCTAAACTGAATGCCTCAATCAAAGAATATTCATCCAGAATATTTCAGTACTCAGGGCTATTTTACAATTCTGTGGCACAAATGTGACATAACTTATACATTAAATACGTCACCAATGGATGTGAAGGGGTGTCTAATGCCATACATAATAACATGAGTGTGTTTTAGGGGACAGTTACTGTCCTGTCGTAATCATTTGTAAGCAATTATATCATCTCTATGGACACCATTCACTGGGAGGGAGTTTGCTGTCAATATATATTCCTCGAAATACTTGGGAATGGAGTAGAATTGTTGCATTTGTATTCATTTTCAAACTTTGCATAATATTGAATCATATTGAAATAATAATCTGTAGGTTCATACTAAGGGAATCCAATTGAATAGGTAGGTATCCCTCCCTATCCCTCCCTCCCGAATGTTGTGAGGAGTGACTTATATGAGTGCAGTAGTGATAGCCTTATGTGTGACCTTCGATAGCATTAAAGGAGAGATAAGTCGTAACGCATGCGTACTGACAGTCACTTCACTCAAGACTTTGAACACATTCACTGATTGTAAGTCCCATTCATTCACTAAATTCAGTGTATTTTATATACATTTCCATCAATTTAGCCGTAATTTCCACTAAATTAGTGATCATTTAATTAGATTTAAGCATAAAATTGCAGAAATAAATGCACAAAGCATTGAATTGAATGCAAGGATAGTATGGGTTGGATGTGTGGCCGGCATTGCATGGAGTCTATAGTGTCGGCCATTATTTGCATTCAATTCAATGTGTTTTGCGATTTGAATGCATTTTACGATATATTCATGAATTGAATTGATTTTGTCTTACAGTTTGTGTTGAACATACACTCAAAGCAAACACCACTTCATAAGCAATGGCTTTGAATCAACTGATCGCCAAACACCAGGCCTTGAGCCGCGCACTCGTATGTCATACATGTAATGTTGTCATGAATTGATGGCTAACTGTGTTTGTCTTACTCGCAGCTGATGAGAGGGAACTGCTTTCGTCCGGTGGTCAGTGGGATGAACACAAGTGACTCAGCCCTGAGCGGTCAGTCCGTGGCCAGCAGTGAGCACCGTATGCTAGCTCTGCCAGTATTGCGATCGTTGCACACGAGTGCAGTGCACCGGGACATCGACAGCGCCGCCAAATTCATCGGCGCCGGTGCGGCTACTGTAGGAGTGGCGGGCAGTGGGGCCGGTATTGGGTCGGTGTTCGGCTCTCTGATCATAGGCTACGCCCGGAACCCATCCCTCAAACAGCAACTCTTCTCGTACGCCATCCTCGGGTTCGCTCTCT